AAGAAGAAGAAGAAGAAGAAGAAGAAGAAGAAGAAGAAGAAGAAGAAGAAGAAGAAGAAGAAGAAGAAGAAGAAGAAGAAGAAGAAGAAGAAAAGAGCCAAACTGGGCAGGAAGACTGGGCCTGTGCAGAAGCCATAGTTATCTACCTTACAGCAGTCTGGCCCTTCCTGACATCCTCATTTCTGCAGCAATAAACTGAGGCTCATGGATCACAACTCCAGGGGCTTGAGTCTTTAAGAACACATTTTGAGGTGGGCGGTGGTGGCACACGCCTTTAGTCCTAGCACTTGGGAGGCAAAGGCAGGCAGATCTCTGTGAGTTCAAGGCCATCCTGATCCACAGAGCAAGATCCAGGACAGCTAAGGCTACACAAAGAAACCCTGTCTCGAAAAACAAAAACAGCCAAACAAAAACATGAACACATTTTCGATAAAAACAAACAAACAAAACCTGAAAGACAGGGTTATGTCCCTGGCCTCACTCTTTGGGATCTTTCTTATAATTTTGGATTAAAAGAATACTCAGAGAAGAAAGAGGCTTCTCCCATGTGAAAACATTCCAGTCCCTCATACACTACAAAGATAGCACCACGTGGAACTGCATGTTGCGGAGGAGCACTGCCAAAACTGGAGCGACCCGCTGCTGTTGAAGCGTCCACCACTCTCCACTCAGCGCTGTCCCCGCCTGCCCTCCTGGCTTTGTCACCACTTGATATCCAAGCTGTCTGTGCAGGCCTCCAAGCTCTGGTATGTGGTGTGCAGCACCTCCTGGACTTTGGGGGACTCAGTACCCTCCAGCCACTCCTGGTACAACTCCTGCACATGTGCACTGCTCTCTGGGGGCCGCACAGGAATGCCGGAGTAGATCCCTTCCATTTGCCGCAGTAGTGCACGATCTGTGTGGCCGTCCTCTCTCTGTGCTTGGCCTCTGCCATTTAAGCATCCTGAAAGATACACACAGGTGGACCTCTATTTCCCTGTGGGGCAGCCAGTTACAAGGGAGCTGTACATCAAGGGTCACAGCCGGAAGCAAGAGAAGCATGAAACAGGCAGTACCATGTGACCTGAGCTTGTTTCTGGGGCTCAGAGTATTCTCTGAGGGTATCATGGAGCCTGCCTAGGAGGAGAGCCCTGGATGTTCTTTAGTTTTACCATATACATTACCCATAAACTGTTTTTCTTTTTAATAATTTATTTATTTTTATTTTATGTACATTGGTGTTTTGCCTGTATGTCTGTGTAAAGATGTCAGATCCCCTGGAAATGGAACCACAGACAGTTGTGAGCTGCCATGTGGGAGCTGGGAATTGAACCTGGGTCCTCTGGAAGATCCGCCACTGCTCTTAACCTCTGAGCCATCTCTCCAGCCCCACCATAAACTGGTTTTACCTAAAAGCCTTTAGAAGTGGGCAGCTTTCTCCTATCTGGATTCCTGGTTCTGATAATTACCCAAAGAGCATGGAATGGTTGAAAAGCTGTGAGCACAACTACTTGCACACAGTGACACTGTTGTCAGTGTGTAGGCCGACAAGGCTGCATTAGGGCTGAGTGAGCTAGGAGCTCTCCATGAGCATCCATGTAGTCTAAGTAAGTATGTGTCTCCTACTGTCAGTACTACCCACTCTTAAACCTGCAGATCTCTCTCTCTCCTCTCTCTCTCTCTCCTTTCTCTCTCCTTTCTCTCTCTCTCTCTCTCTCTCTCTCTCTCTCTCTCTCTCTCTCTCT